AGCTCAGAGTTGTTTTATCTTTGATAAAACAGGTTTTATCAAAGATAAAAGTTACCGTGTGCCTAAATCAGTTTTTTATAGTCAGACTGCAAATTATGTTTTGTTTAGGACGTTACTTATCGGTTTTGTTTTTGTCAACCTGGGTTTAATTCCCAGTCCTGGGGAATCTGCTGCATGTCATTCCTTCCTTTCTCCTCCCAGTTTCCTGTTCAACCACTGCAAAAATAACAGCTACTAGAACCTAAAACACTTTATTAGAGCCTGAAAAACTTTTTAAAAACTAAAGAAATGGACCAAAAGTGAGAATATGATTACCTCCACATTGTGCTCGTTTCCTCATGTTAACAACTTTCTTCCATTGACGGTCAAAAGAAACCAAAAAAAACAATTTGGAAAAGACTAAAAAAATTTATCTTATTTAAGAAGACAAAGAAACACAAAGAGTGAGAAGGATAAGGAAGATTAATTAGGATTATTATTAGAATAAAAGAAAGAGAAGAACTGAGGACCAAATGCAGGTTGTAACCTCTGTGTTTGGGGCAAGTGTTAAAACTTTAAAACATTAAACTTTTAAAACGTTAAAACCTTAAAGTTAAAAAACAAAAAAGAACAAAACAACAAAAAAAACGTTAACATTGTAAAGTTTTGAACATGATGGGAGTCACTGACCAAAAATATCAGTGTGACCCGCAATGCATCATGGGGGATTAGCTCAAAGATTTGCCCCGCCCCTCACGCAAAAATGACGCAAAAGGGGTCGAGTTTTTCACAGACTCGTGAATGGTGTGTGCTTGGTTCGCATTTTAGCGTGTAATTGTAGTTCATAGATTTGAATTGTTTATCTCAAGGTATCGAAGGCGGGTCGCGAACCAGCGACCCACAGGGTCGCGCCGGTCCTCTGTCACTTTGTGAAACCGCTCGCAGAAGCGCATAATCTACGTCGGAATTTTGAGTCATGGATTTTTTTTATTGTTTCGTTTCACCTTTACATACTTTTTATTTATTCTTTTGTATTGTTTATAATATGTATCAGGTTGAATTAAGTTCAGAGTGTAAAATACATATTTAAGTAAAATCAGTCACAATATGTACCTACATCGTAATATGATCTTATGAGACTTAAGCTTTCTGACACCTCAGTGTAACTGCACTGTGTTAGGCTGCTCTTTGACCTTTCAAAGACTAGCCTGAAATCCCACAGGAGTCAAAGTTCAAGTGATGAGCAGCACCTTACCTGAGCCCCTGCTGTTCAGTAAACGTTGCAGTGTATTTGACTTTGACATCCCTGCTGTAGAGGAATGGCAATGTCTGGGAGAGACGTTAGTGGAGTTTTTGACCGCCTTGCTCAGCAGAGTCCTGCAGAGTGAGAAAATGCTGGATGACAGAAGGATTGACCGATGGGTTCACATAAGGGGTGGAATAAGTTTGACAGATGAGATTAAACAAGAGGCTCCGCAGATCAAGGTGTTTGCAGATGACATTGTAAACTGCGGTGAAGGTCAGAAGCATGTGCAGGGAAACTTAGATGAGGTTCGCCTCAGAGGGATAAAGGTCAGCAAAAGCAGGACGGAATAATGTGTGTCTGAACGATCGTGAGGAAGGTGCAAAGGTGAAGCTGGAAGGAGCAACGGCGGCAAGAGTTTAAACCATCGTAAACAGCGGGCAACGTAAAAATCAGAGGTGAAGAAGAGTATCAGCAGATGGAGACGGTTGTCATCAGGAAGGTGTTATAACTTCTGTGATATATGATTCTGAGGCCCTGGCATTGTCCACAAAACAAGAGGCTGAGCAGAAGGTGACAATGAAAAGGTGCCGAGATTTTCATTGGGAGCGACCAGGATGAACGGGATTAGAAATAAATAGATCACAGGAACAGCGAAGGTTCAGTGATTTGGACAAGTTCTTAGAAGAGACTGTGAATGCACTGCGGAAAGGATGTTGGCAGGAGGAGAAGAGGAAGAGCCCGGACAGGATTAATGGACATAGTGAAGGAGGACAGGGAGTTGGTTAGTGTAACAGTTGAAGAGGCAAAGGATAGGATAGGGTGAGGTGGAGGCAAGTAATCAGCTGAGGCAACCCCTGAGGCGAGCCGACAGAGGAGGGGGAAGAAGACTCAAGGAAATTTGAGTTGAAAAGAAAAATTCGAAGGCTATTTGTCATTTTCCCTCCACTTTTTTCCCGTATTTTTATTTTTTACCAGTATTTCCCCGGTAATACACAAGTTTATGTTGGTCTGTTAAAAAACAAACAAAAAAAAAACACCTTGAAGATTTGAGTTTGTACTGTGACAAAAAGCATAAAAGTTCAAATGAGGATGTCAGACGCTGCGACGTTCTAATCGTTTTGCATAACTCCCTTATTTCTGCTGCTGGACGTATCGCTGAGGTTCGGACAGACGAATAAATAAACTCATTTTGAACCCGGCACATTGTGAAATACAAGGAAAGAAAATCCACTGCAGAGGGACCGGTTCCTTCTTAGCTTTCCTCTCAGGCTCAACATTGTGGCCTACCTTGAGCTAGCCCACATTAAAATCCAAATGTGCCACTTAAAAGTGTAAAACAGTGATAGACGTGAATCGCTTCCTCCACTTTTTTACATCCGTAGACAGATTTCACGGAGGTGCTCGGCGTCGATCCATCCTGAATTGATGCGTCTTGCCAAACACAGCTGTTTCCTCCATGCCACAACTCTTTGCTGTCACTACTTGTCTCGAGAAGCCTCTGCGGGCGCAGCAATTACAGAGTTTGTTGTTGGTTGCTGCTAGTGGGTCCTCTGGGCATCTGTATCGTGGTCTAATTTCATCCCCACTCTGCGGGGTAATTCGATCATCTCTCGAAGCCTGGGGAAAGGCACACAGTAGGTACAAGGGAACAGAAAAACTCCAATAAATCCATTTAGACTGTTTTTAATCCGTTCTATGATGGTCTGCTGTGTACAGTGTGTCAAAGGAGGAGCTGTTCGAAGCACGTGAGGACGGCTTTCAGTGGACTATTCACACTAAGTATCTCAGGAACCTCCATGTTCTTGAACAGAGGTTCCTGTAGAAAAAAAAAAAGAAGAAGAAACAGCAGTCCTCTAGTGCCCCCGGTGGTCAGTCTGTGGGGAATGCTGGACCAGGATTATGGGTGTGTAGCGCCATCTACAGGTAAGCGTTTGCCTTCTGTGATTTCCGATAATGACAGCGTTTCAGTGTGACTGAAGCACCATTTTCTGTGTGTAATGTTTTGGAAAGAGTATGAATCGCATTTTAATGACCAAACACCGAGCATCTTTATGAAATGAGATAAACAACATAAAACACTCGAGCACAACAATGAATAGCAAACAAAGAAAAAACAAAAAAAAGCTGGATGAATGATGGTTACCCCAGATCAGTGGTGGTTAAAATGCTGCTATAGATGGTCTTTACTCTTTCCTGTTTGAAGTCTCAAACAGGACTGACCTGTCATTACAGCAGCACAAGGTAAATGAACTGTATTCTTGTATTCCTGAAGGGTTATTGAGGATGATGCAGTGGCTGAATTTATTTGCTTCATACAAGATGCATCAGCGCCCCTGTGTGGTCACACAGCAAAACAGAGAAATGTTTCTTTAAATCCACTTTGTTTGACCAAAAATAACCGCAAGATGAAGTTCAGAACAAGAACTAAACAAAAAGCAGTAGAATATATGAATTTGATATTTAAACCCTTGTGGATATAACTGCTCCGCTCCATTTTGGCACAGTTCAAATTGAACATTTATTTTTTTTCGGGGTGCAATGATTCAACAGCTTAAAGCATATTATTGTCATATTCCAAAACAAGAACTGCATGCAAAAGTTTGGAGCTCCTGCAGATTTTCTTTAATCCATACAGGCTTAACTGTGTAATGCATTTGGTTTTGGGTTCCCGAACGAGTTGGATCTCAGCCAGGCATCCTGGGTGGTCATTTACAAGCTTCTGGCACGAGTCCAGCTGGATATTTGACCACTCTTCTCGGCAGAGTCCATTTGAATTGGTGGTTCATCTGCCGCCCACCCAACTTTTGATTGTTGCATATGAGTGTCTGTAGTGACTGGCAGGAAGTTTGATGTGAGGTTAAGATGTTCAGGAACGGCCGAGACTCAAACTGAAAGCAGCCAAAACGCCAGTGATGCTGTCCAAAGCTTCACAATATTAGCATGATGGCCCCCCAAACCCCTGAAAAACTATTTCTTGTTGTGACAAAAGAAAACTTTGAGCTTGGGTGAAACCACATGGAAAAGAAAACTTCTTGGACTTAACAAGAAAATCTGAGTGTAGCAGGAGGTATTTATGAAGACGTCAAGGTGTTGAATTTGCCTCAGGACAACCATACCAGCTGTGAGGTTTTTTTTTTCTTCTTATTTTATCCAGTGATGGTGCATCGCACAAGCGTTGATGATGTAAGGAATAACGAGGACAACCTCTAAATTTTGTGATCTCACTCTATTGCGACCAACACACAGGATTTAGACTGATTTTTAGGATTGATAAAAGTCTAAGATTAAGCTTCTGGATGTTTCTGATCAAATCCCATGCTTTGCTTAAAGCCCAGCAAACCAAGCTATCAAAATAAATTCTACCATTTCTGTTTGTTTCAGGAGTGTGGTCGATGCCAAGTGAGATTATGCAGTGGAGATGTGGACATATGCTTAATCTCTTATGTATCATTTCGACTCTTTTATCCATTTTCTTAAATAAAATGCATGTCTTATGCAGTTATTCCACCCTGGAAAATAATCGGTTTGAATGAGCTTCGTAAAAGTAAAAATTAATGACATTCATGCCAATTATGAATGCATGTAAACATTCAACTGGAGCTGGAGCTTCCCGCTTGCTTAACAGAATAATGAGGCTTATTTAAGCATGAGAAATATGAATGGCATGTTTTCAGGGTGAGAAATGTGATTGAAATCGCCCGGTACCAAAGATAGCAAAAATAAAACTCAAGGTTCGGATTAACGCTGACAAAATCCACTTAAAGTGATGTATTAATAGCATTGTTTTTTTTTTTATTATTATAATACATCCATTTGCATTTCCAAACAACGTTATTGTTGAAGGTCATGTAAATGTTCCACTAGTTTGAGGTTTTTGAGAGTAACACCCGTTAAAACATGTTTACAAAATTAGTATCTCTGGCTTACATGTAAATTCCAAATATAACAAAAATATTTCTATAAATACTATAAATACTGTAAAGTCATGATTCTTACATATTTCTACGAAAATATGTTCCATATGCAGAAAGCTTGAGAAGTACATTCACTTTCACTTTTGTTCATATAAGTCTCTATTGCTAAAGGTTTTTAAATTAGCGCACGGCTCTTATGTCATCACAACACTTAACAGTTTCCTCTTCAAAGTGAAGAGGAAATAGGTTTTCATAAAAATTAAATCTAAAAATAACACAAAGAATACAAATGCCCTTTTATGAAGATTTGGGGGGGGGAAATGAGCTACCAATAGACATTCACTGCTCTCTTTTTTTTCCGATGTAAAATGGTTTTGATGTTCTTAAGTGAAATTTTTGGCATTAAAGTTCTGCCGTCTCCCGCCCTGGCGGCGCTACATCTGGTTGTCGTTGTACTGCGGGCTGGAGAATTGGTCCTGCATGGCTCCAGCAGCCGCCCCCATGGCGGCCTGCTGGGCAGCCGCCTGGACGTGGGGGTTCTTCCAGGCTCCCGTAGCCCACTCCTCCTGCGCTTTGGACATGCTCGCCCCAGTGCCGCGATAGAAATTATGGATCTGCGAGCAAGATGAGGTTATGAATTAGCAACAATACGGCTTCTTATGAAAGATAGCTTTTGTTTTTGTTTTTTTTATTTTAAGAGAACCTTAAAAAACAGCAGTGCAATGAGGTGAGGGAGAATGTGTCAAGATTTAAAGCAGAGCTCAATTACAAAATATTGACCCAGGCTTTGAACCGCTCACAAAGCATTGTGCAATCCTTTACAAAATTCTAAAGATACGGCACAATTCCTGATGTGCTAACACATGACCGTCCACTGAAATCAGAGAAGCAAATAGGAAGAACTGTGGATGAGCGGCAGCTCGGATGGGAGGATTTGTCGGCGGAAAAACTGTTAGTGAAACAAGAACAAATCCAAAATTAGTCCTGTTTTTATTTAACCACAAGGACAAACCAAGCAGAGGAGACAGAAAGTGAATAATTGGAAGCGCTCTCACTAGAAGACAGTAGAATTTGACTTTTGGGGCATTGTGAATACAGGAAAGCATGATGGGAATGTTTCCTCCAGCAGCTTGGAATTAAGAATTTGAATTCGAATTCTACCAGATATGTGAAACGAATAGAAACAGCCCAAACAACTTACAACTGTTAGCAAAATGTTCCGCAAAACTTTGAACCCAACTTTTCCTACTGGCGTCTTTGCAAAAAGAGAATAGCTAAAGAAATCACTCTCAAGATGTTCAAAGCTGGTAAAGGTATTCCACCAAAAACTGCAACAAAGAAAATAAAAAATAAAAAAAGTGATTCTAGACGATATTGACTCCGGGGTGGTGTGGGAACTACATACATTATTTGGTTTCTTTATATTATTTTATGTAGCTCTGCAAAGCCATGAACCAGTGAATCTTTTTACCTTGGTGAGTGCAATGAAGGACAGCGAGGCCACAGCCGTGAACATGATTGTCGGGATGAGCATGACTAAAGCAATGAAAATGTTATAGCTGAAGAAGGAGATGGTGGCTAACCAGCCGCTGTAAAACAAAAAGATACGAGTGTTAGAAAATGTCATTTAATGAGGACCAAAAAAAAAAAAAAAAGGAGAACATAAACCGTTATATTGCACTCTGTGGTTCTCCTCCACCTTCCAGAGCTGAACATCTGGCTGCTAAGTGGTGTGATATTCATAGATTTAATTATTGTGATATAAAAAGTTAAGGTTTTATGGATGAGAACGTCCCGATGCACATGGTGACATTTACTAACTTTATAGAGGCTGTCATAACATTAATTTCTGATCATCAGCCTGAGTCAGGTGACATTTACAGGATTACTTTAATGGCCTCTCAAAGTATAATACGAGAACTAACATAAAAGTTATAGCGAGCCAATATCTGAGAGTTTGACATTGTAATCTTTATGAGAAGCGATGAGAGGGAAAAAAAAAAAAAGAAACTATATCTAATTTGGGGAGCACTGTGATTCTCCTTAAGCATAAAATATGACAACGACCAAAGACGTGACCTTCGACCTTTTGTGATTTTAGATGTTTTGTTCTAAATTCTTTAAAAAATGTCAAGACTTTTTACTTCTCCATCATTTTAAATACGTACAAAACGCAGCTTAACATTTTATGCACATAGCTCTTTTTGTTCTTTCTCTGCCAGCAGCACATTAGCTTTATTTACATCAACTTCACTTGTGTTTATATTTGACCATTTTCTGATGGCGACTAGAGCAAAGTTTAGTTTTCTTTTAATATTTTATTCTGCAAAATTTAGAAATCCTTTCTCACGGCAACTCTAAGGTAAGGCAAATAAAAAATGGAAGGGATGAACATTTGGAAATTTAGGTCCGAATCACACACAGTTCAAATGGGCGAAACAACCTCAAAGTAGTTCAGCAACAGATGAACGAGAAAGTTTATCAAAATAATCTCCTTTTGAAGATTCTTTGGTGTGTGGATCCTCTCTCTAACTCTCACCATACTCCCCATCCTGGAATACCGATGCTCTGGATGATGCTGATCCCAACTTGGGCCATGAACACAAAGAAGAACAGCATGAAGTTGAAGGAGCTGTCTGACCTGACAAAAATACAACAAAACATTCATATTTCACCATTATTGTTTTCTTCAGGCTTTATTTTCTTTTTTGTGTGTAAAATCGTCGTGATCAATCGATTTTGCAGTGGCATAATCTCACACTGACAAGGTACAGTTTTATGTCAACGATGTTTGAATAATTAGTTTCACATCACTTTACTTATTATAGCTGGATCAACTAATCAATCAGAGCTGCATTTAATGTGGCAGGTTTTGAGTAACACATTTTCTGGTCGCCTTCCCCCGACTTTTGAAGATCTGCCTTAATTAACCGGTACGTTCTCTTGCTTTTCTACTTTTGAGCATGTTTATGAGAACTGGTGTTCTCTGCCACAATATTTTCACATGAAGTGACAACAGAATGTCTTGCATTTTGAATTAATAATTTAAAAAGACATTAGTAAATAAAAAAAAAAATGCTTGATTAACTCTCCTTAACAGGACTCAGAGAAGCCGGTGCATATCTTAACACGGGGTATACTCAAACCTATTTAACTTTTTCAACATACTTTATGTGACTTTTTTTTTGTACCATAAAAGTTGAACTTGTTTTTGTCTTTTTATGGATCAGGGGTGCCGATTCCAGTATAGGGGGCTGCGGATCCATGTTCTCGATCGATTTTTTTACCTGACTTGTGATTATGTAGACATTTAACACAAATTCAAGCTGATGTTAATTAAAATGAGCTGCCATGAAAGACGAGGACGTGAACTCACTAGCTTAGACGTCACACGTGTTTGTTTGGAAGGAAACGTCCTTTATAATCTACAGATACTTGATTTTGGCACCAGGATATAAAATCACACCAGACACTATCCCATTCACAATGACTTACTTTTATAATAATTCTTCAGATTTACAATGACTTCATCATCTAACGCAGTAAGGACCTTGTTTGAAAGCTGCATATTTTTAAATTCTGGACTTACTTGAACGCCTTGTAAATGGGCCTGAACCAACACACGTAGGAGCAAGGGGTGAACATCAGTAGCCAGATGAGGGATAACCCGAAGTTAGTCACTCCGCCGCCGCCAAACATCCAAGCAAAGCAACCGACGAAATTCACTGCGAGGGTGGCACTGTTCACTGCAAAGGAACCACAGAGGCATTTCGGGTTTTTGGTGCAAAACGTGAACAAAAGATTATATTGACTTCATGCGCATGCACATGCAGAGAAGAGTTTTGAAAAATGAAATTAAATTCATAGGAATGAAACCTGGACTAATGTAAAAATAATAATAACAATAAAAGAAAAAAATCTCCATGCACAATCAATGGTTTGAGATTTCCTGTGAAACTAGAAAAACAAATGTGAAAAAACATTTGAAAAAAAATAAAAAACATAACATTGAAGCAATAAACATGCATATCACTGTTTCATATCACATGATTTACCAAATTAAAATTAGGCAGAAAAAAAAAGTTTATGGCTTTGATTACAAATGAAATACCTTCTGTTTAGCATTGATTTTTTTAAAGGAACCTGCAGAAAGAAAGAAAAAAGACTCATAGAGATAATTTGCAGCGCAAGACGTATGGAGTGTCTTGTAAAAAATGTCATAGCCTCAGAATTTTTCACATTTAGTTGCAAATACATCGTCATTTCAAGGGGATTTCCTGTGGCAACACAAAGCAGGGCATAATTGTGCAATCAAAATAAAAGTATGCATGGTTTTGAAATATAACATTTTAAACATACAAAAAAAAATACAGCAAGCACATATTTTCAGAAGCCCACAAGTTACACACACACCACACTTTTCAGATTTATATTTGTAAACAGAAAAGGAAATTACCCATTTATCATGAACCTTCCGCTTCAAAATGATGCAGTTTTGGTTATTCAGTCACATAACATCCCATTTAAACACAGAAAAGGTTGCATGAGCACAGTGAGAAGTTATTGGAGTGTTATTGAGTTCGCAAAGCAGTGGAGGTAAGCAAATGACGCTGGTGAATCGGGTATCAAGTGTGAACATACTCACAGATCCACAGGTTGTACATTTTCTTGCACATGCTGCGGTGCTGATCAGGGATCTCCTCGAAGTTCTGGTAGAAGCAGGGCTTCAGAGGAACAAACCCGGGCAGAGGAGGGAAATTGGGCTCCGTATCTGCAAATGATGAAACAATGGTGAGACGTATACTCGAATTCAAGTCATTTTTCTTGTGAGTGTCAATTTGCACCGACCGGCCATGTGGACACACCGTGGTGATTCGCTTTGAGATTTAATCTTCCGCCAGGCCCTTCAAGCCTATCAAACAAGAGGAAACTTCAGGTCGGCTCAACTGCAGGAGCTTCGCGATAACTTTCAGACAATTTAATACTTGATGTGATGTATCGCACAGCTAATGCACCGAACGGTTTAAAAGGAGAGGGAGAGAGAGGTTAACAGTGGATGGAGCAGCTCATGATTGCCGTCCTGGCGTTTGCGGGGAGATGGAATATCTGCTAAGATGTGAACGACTCAATCTTTCCGCTTTCATCATGCATGAGGAGGCAATGGAACACGCGCGCGCAGAGGCCGATGACAGCCTCGCGCAACCTGGAAGCGGATGAGACGCGCTGTTATTGCGTACCGCGAATTGTGGAAATGTGGGAGCTGGCGACGGGAAACTTAATCTGCTTACCTCAGAGAGCAGCGGCTCCTCGGTCTGATATTCTCACACACACACGCACACACACACGTACCGTGAGTTCACCTGTGTCCCGAACACACCTAATACCGATCCACCGCCGCCTCAGGCCTCGCTATTGGGAGATAACAGCACTTTCTTCTGCCCGGTGTAGCAGCAGTACTAATTTAAGGTCGTTCTAATCCTCCACCAATCAGCGCGCAGAGCTCCGCCGTCGCTCTGATTCTGTCCAATGGTGGGATCACTTTAATCCTCCACGTCGAACTACTGGCCCAATCGCTGTTCGGAACCCTGTCCATGGTGCTGAACGCACAGACTGAGACGGTTTTGTCGGAAGAAACCGATTGTCTCTTTTTAAAAACAACAACAACAACAAAACACCAGCTCGTATTGTGTCACGTGTTCATTAAAATACTGAATTTTATGAATAAATTGCGTCTACCGGGTTACAACAGTAAGGGACGGAGCTTAGCGTTTAGGTTTCCGAGGTGTCTTGAACACATCGTGATCCTGACACTTCTGAGTAACAAACTATCTTAGACGTTCATCTAAATACATGTACATGGACCAAAGTGAAACACGTCTGGATTGCTGTTCATTGATCCACATTTTTCAGATTGAATCTATTTAATGTCTCCCAACAGGAGACATGACGAAGAGATGATTAGTGTTGCTTACTAAAGTTGTCAGTGTTCATAATGTTGTGCCTTATCGGCGTATTTTACGGCAGGTCATTCTTTCCTTCCAATAACTTACATAAATAAAACTCAGCTGACTTATGATTGGCTGTTTTGAACCCGATAGGTTTTCTACTTTAGACAAAAACACTCCAGTATGGATGGCTCAAGTGAAGTCCTTTATGTTTGTCTCTTCTTCAACTGTATTCATTTTATTACTCAGCCTTTTAACTTGACCCCCCCCCATCCACTACAACAAACAGGGACACCACTGACATCAAAAATAGATTATTTGTCTCTTTTTCTCTTTTGCCTCATTCAGAAACTAATAGTCCTGTATGATATGAGTCCACCTGGCTCCAACAAACTCCACCAGCAAAACACGACCACTTTAGTCTGCAAAGAATAGATAAGGCATGTCATATTTCACCCTCTGCAATCACTCTGATAAGGAAGCGGTGATGCAACACAGATAAACTTTTATGATTCACTCTGAAGATTTGCTTCCAGCCTGGGAGGAGCGGCTGATACACAACAGGATGCTAACTGTGTGGCGAAGCGCTGAATGTGTAATAAACCGAGAGAACCAAACACAAGAATGGAAAACAAGGGGAAGAAAGAAGAAAGAAGTGATGGGAGTGGGCTGATATCAACTTGGACTTGAAAAGAACCCCTCCTTTCTTACTCTGGCTGTATGTTTAGGATCTTTTTCTTACTAAAAAGGTAAACCGTTTAACGTGTCCTGTTTTTAACTCCAGCCGTTTTCCCATCGACTCTGATTGTGTTTTAGGATGTTGGCCAAAACCTCAAAACAAATAAAATGCACCGTAAACTTTGTGGGTTTTGAATGAGAGAGAGAGAAAAAACAAAAACTTGTTTTCATTGTTCAAAAACAAAAACATTTTTGTTTTTGAACAAAATTTGGAACCAGTACGTAATAATTTTATTTCAAACAAATGTTGCAATCACTCAGAAATGTCATTGTTAACTTATCCTTGATCAGTTTTGTTCAAAGTCTTATGTGATTCCTCCTTTATGTATCCTGGCAGCTCTGCGTCCTTGTCCTCCTGAGGAGAATAATTTAACCTGGTTACCATGTGTGTTTTTTTTGTCTCTATGGAGACCTATTCATGCTGACCCATCAGTTCCAAGCCAACACATAAATGTTATGCCGATTTTATGAGAAATTAATTTAACTTCTTTGGTGTTCAGCTTCAGACTGGAATGAAATCAGTTTGGGTGAGATGTGGTCACCACTGAAATACAGATGAGGGCGCTGTTGTCAGTGTCCGTAATGTAGTAGTTTCAGTTCAGCCACAAGCACTTATTGTTTTGGATTTTTTATTATTATTTAATAAAATAACAGACAAGTTTCTAAGTGTGAGGTGAGTTTAGTTGGATGCTGAAAGTTTGTGAGGCCGACGCCAGTTCAGAAACAAGGCGTTACACAAATGTTACATTATCCACAGTCAGACTTCGTTGAAGAACTTGTACTTAAACTCCAGGGGGTTTATCTATAAAAGGAATGGTAGAAATTGCAATACAAAAAGTGTATGAATCTGTTACTAGTAGGTAAAATTAGAATTGAACTGCACAAATCACCTTGCAAAATTATTCATTCTCACATTTTGTGATTTTATAAAAATCTAACTTGTATTAGTAAATTTATTGGAGAGTTTTTTAACAGACCAATGCAACACTAAATATAACTTAGGTTAAATTAAAAAAATGGGAAATTTTTTTATATATTTTTTTTAAAAATCCCTTCTCATCCACCGCGGGTGGTTCTTATCCTCTGAGCTCGGGTCCTCTACCAGAGGCCTGGGAGCTTGAGGGTTCTGCAGTATCTTGGCTGTGCCAAGGACTGCACATTTCTGCACTGAGATGTCTGATGTTGTTCCTGGGATCTGTTGTAGCCACGGCTCCAGTTTGGGGGTTACTGCCCCGAGGGCCCCGATGACCACAGGCACCACTGTGGTCTTCACCTTCCAGGCCTCTCCAGTTCTTCCCTGAGGCCCTGGTATTTCTCCAGTTTCTCGTGCTCCTTTTCCTGATGTTGCAATCACTTGGTATCGCTACATCTACCACAACGATTTCCTCTGTTGTTTATCCACTACGACAATGTCTGGTTGGTTTGCCATTACCATTTTGTCTGTCTGGATCTGGAAGTCCCACAGGATCTTAGCTCTGGCGTTCTCCACCACCTTTGGGGGTGTTTCCCACTTTGATCTCGGGGTTTCCAGTCCACATTCTGCACAGATGTTTCTGTACACAATGCCTGCCACTTGGTTATGTCGTTCCATGTACGCTTTCCCTGCCAGTATCTTGCACCCTGCTGTGATGTGCTGGACTGTCTCAGGGGCCTCCTTGCACAACCTACACCTTGGGTCTTGTCTGGTGTGGTAGATCTGGGCCTCTATTGCTCTGGTGTTTAGGGCCTGTTCCTGGGCGGCCAGGATGAGGGCCTCTGTGCTGTCCTTGAGTCCAGCTGTTTCCAGCCATTGGTAGGATTTACTGATATCAGCCACTTGGGTTATTTGCTGGTGGTACATCCATGTAGGGGCTTTGTCCTCCCATGATGGTATCTCTGGCACCTCAACCTCTGTTCCCTGTTGTCTGAGACATTCACTGAGCACATTGTCTGTTGAGGCTTTGTCCCTGATGTATTTATGGATCTTAGTTGTTTCGTCCTGGACAGTGGTTCTCACACTCACTAGTCACTAGTGAAATAAAAATAATGGGAGAATTTTATATACATATATATTGTGTATTGTGGTTTTTAAATATAGATAGAATAATAAATGCATGTTTTTGTCAGGTTACAGTATGTTTGTTTTCTATTCTGGATTCTCTAGGTGTCCACCAGGGGGCAAGCAGAGGGGGTATAAAGGGGGGGGAGGAAGGGGGCTTGAGCCCCTGCCCCTTTTATTCTTGATGTCCTAGTTGTTGTTTCAGTTTCTGCCTCCATGTTGTTCAGATACTGGGTCCATGGTGAGGAGGGGGGTGGATCTGTGTCCTCTAACTATTAAATCATGGGTAAGAATGTTTTTTATACACTGGTTTGTCAATAAAAACGTAGGTCTGATGCTAATGTTAGAAAAACTGTTTCTGTTTATATTTTTGTAATTGTCCTCGCACAGAAATGCTTTGGCTGTAACTAAATAGAAGTTACTGCAGAGCCTCAAGTGTTAAAGGAATATTTGGGCCAGAGCATTTAGAGTTCACAAAATAAACATCAGAGAAAACCCTTCCTACTAAGAACCTCAGCATCACTAACATGTTTAAATATAGATAAGGTGAATCTGTGAGAGGGAGACTAGGTTTATTGGCCGAGTTTAAAATCAATCACTGATTGTTCGCTGTAATGCATTTGTGAACAAACCCTATTCAAACACAAACGTTACACCATATTCTAGCCATGGTAACACAACAATCAAACTATCAAGATGATTCTTTAAACTTTTACAAACTTTCTAATAAAATCCTAAATGTGCAATTTTTTTTCTCAGCTGAATGGATAACATGAATTTTAATAACATTGTCATCCTCTATAAATGATGGTTTAGATCTATGGTCTGTGTTACAATTAAACCATTTCTAGGGGCCCCTGAATGTCTGGAGGGCCCTCCCAGCAGCCATTCAGTTTTATTTGCCTGGATATTTTCAGTCTTACAATTCTAGATGTCAGAGGTGCTAACATAAATAAATTATGTATGTTAACACATTTGAGCTTTTTTGATCTATAAATCAGTCTGCAGCCAAGTTGTTCAAGAGGTTAAATAAATATTATTAGGGTTTAATTAGTAAAATGACAGCAATTTCTCTTATTTTATAACTTCATAACCTTTGACCTTCTCTCCTCTGGTCTGTTTAACAGCTACAGTCTCAGATCAACTCAGCCCTCCTGGACTGTCAGTAGCAGAAACAGCAACTTTATACCACATGATGGCAATGACATAGTAGATTCTTGATGAATATGGGTTGTTGCTATATTGCTGTACGGTGTTTTAAGATCTTGCTCAATGTGCCCCTTTTTAACTTTGAGCCACATTTTCATAATTGCATTTTTATTTTTGAAAATGCAAACAATTAAAAAATTAAAATTAAATTAATTTTTTTAATTTTCTACATTTTCCAGTAGAAAATGGACAGATTGGTGGACATGTGTAATGGAAGCACAGCTACTGCTCTTCAATAAACCTTTTAAAAATTATCTTTTAAAATGATATCCACATGTGAGTCACTCACCTAAACATGACAGTTTTAGCAGTTTTGTTTTTCTTAACTGCATTTAAATTTCACACAGAATCTCAAACAAAGTCCTTATGTTTTAAACTTATATCACCAGTTGAAAAATGAGCTTTTTCTCTTTGCTGCATATTCCACAAGTATCAAAATTGGGCAGAGGTAAATGTATCCAATTTTGGTTATAAAGGTTGTAAAGGTTGCATTCAGGTACAGCTGAAGCTGAATGTTTGGGGTCATTGTACTGCTCAGGTTGTTTTCTTGTGCGATTGCCATGGTTTTAGCTCCATCCATCGTCACATGGACATATTTCATCAGGGGCAACACATTTCATCTTTGAAGCATGAGTTTCTCCTTGCCACGGTTCCATATCAAGCCAGATTTGTGGAGTGCGCGACTAGAAGTTATTGTGACAATGAATTCTCCCCTCAGCCCCAAGCTGTGGATGTCTTTCGCTGTCAAGTCAAGGCAACTCCTCTGACAGCACACACCTTGCCAGGTCTGAAAGAAATTCCTCAGCCATGCACTTCCACTTTAATTTATTGAATGATTGTGCACTGACATTTCGCATGACATTCGAGTAAAATACAATTACGTTTCTAGTAGTAACAGGATAAAACATGAGAAAATTCGAGTTTTCAGGGGACAAAACTCCTTGTAAAAAACAATTTTCATTTCAAGGCATTGTAAACTGAAAAATAAGAAAATATTATCAGGCCACAAATATAGCTGGCAGCCCAATCTTTTGCAAGAGATTTAATTCCTGCAGGAATAAATTTCTTAAAGAAAGTTTGTTAAATCACTGAGTTAATATTTTGCAGTTTTTCTTAGGAATGCAACAGATAAAAGTACACAAGGGGATGATAATCAGTAGAATAAAAACAGAATCAATATCATCATTAGATGTATCATTAATCTTAGTTTCATCCTGCTGAAGTTACTAATTTAAAGCATTTTACTGGCGTTAATCAATGCTTCACTCTAAGCTCAGATAGAGGTCATAGTAGTAGATTCATGCAGATTTTAACAGTCACTACTAATTAGATTTTCACCCTTTTATTTTGGACTTGAGTCATAGCTTGATTGAATCTTGAGTTTGTTTTGTAAATCATAAGTTTCGTGTCTGTGTGGTGATCAGATCCAGCCGATTCTCTGGGGAAGACTGAGGCGTTTGGTCCTGGAATGTCAGCAGTGGATCTTTAGATCTGGTATAAACTGGAATGTCTGAAAATGTTTGCGACTTTAGTTACAAATAACAATCTAAAAGAAAACTGTAAAAGTTAACGAAATTATCTATAACTGCATATGCAGGTGTTAGTCTTTTGGAGTACGGTGGACCCCTCTGATTCAACTATCTACAAACTCCTTACTCTATGGAAGGCAGCTACAAATTATTCACAGAAAACCTGCCTATTTGTAGATGAATCAAACATTGTAGAAATGACCAAACTGTCATTTTGCTAAAACTTATTTTATTAAGTTATGCCTTTGCTAGCTTTGTACATCTAAAGATTGAAGATTTTACCCTTTATATACAAAAACAGCATAAGGACACAAGTTTTCTTTCATATATTTACTACAAAAGGTGAGACATAATGAATATGCTTTCAACCCTGATTCAAAGCTTTGTAGAATCTGCTGTTGTGACTGCTTAACACAAGAGCAAATCTTTTGGGGTTTGTCTCTACTGGCTGTACACATCCAGGAGTTGAACATTTTGCCAGTCATCTTTTGCAGAATAATTTATGCTAAGTCAAATTGGATGGGGAGCATCTGTGAGCAGTGATTTTTTTCATCAATATATCTGTCAGTTGGGTGTATATCTAGTTATCTAGTTTATCTAGACAATTTTAGCACATCAATATGCTTTGTAGATGTGGTGATTACATTTCTGGTTGCTGTCTTGATACACAGCGAACTTCTGCTCCAAGTTCAGATCCTGTAAATGTTACACAAGTTTCCTTGCATGATTTCTCACAACTCCATTAATCTTCTCATCAACTCTGACTCATTGTGTGACTGATGGTGCTAGGTTAACCCTTTCTATCTACCATCAACAGCTTTTTGTGTGCACTCTAAACACTTCCACTTTGTTTCATTTGGTCCCTGTCATTCAAAAATATAGGGGCAAAATTGCTCTCAACAATGATTGCCACTCTTCTTGAAAGGGCAGGTTTGTGGTGTGCGCCACTAAGTGGACTCATGTTGACAGATTGTCTGTCCTGAGTTGTTTGCTGTTATGTGCTACTTTGTCTTTGTCATATTCAATCCCAGTAAGTTGCACCTTGAGGTTTGTGGTTAGTGAGAGACAAAATGTGCTAAAAAGGCTCAAAGGGTATAATTACTTGTGCAAAGCACTGTAAGCGAGGACACTTGGGGGAACAAATGAAGGATAGAACTATAAATGTTACAGCTGCACATCTGCTTTCAGAAACATTACTGAGAAGCAAGCTTTCCTCTTGTGTTTTTCTCTGCCGCTAATGCTACATAAAATAAAAATAAAAACTCCTCTGCATAGGATTATACCCTTGAATCCACAGGGTATCAGGTGGAGGCAACAGTCCAAATTTTGGATTCAGTGTTTGACACCAGCAGAGGAAGAAGGATGAACGGGAAAATTAGAGCCAAACAACAATTGCAGAGGACACAGTAATTCTATCTGTCTCAATCTCATGATCCAACACCCCAGACATTCGCTTTTAATCAGACGCCTGGGAGCTGCATCCATCCCATTTCATCAGCGCCAATCAATCCTGCATCGATGAATACAGCGAGGCAGGAAATCTGGTTACATGATATGTTATTATCAGAAGGAACAATTTCATCTCAGACTGGTTTTGTTTCCCTGTTGTTTCATTTTGTGTCAGGCAACATAAGAATTTATAGCCAGAATAGTAAAACAACGCTTATTTAATAGCACATATTAAGGTTGTGGGATTAAAAAATGAATGAAAATCAGCACAAGACTTTCCTTTTATCTCGGGGAGTTATTTCTGCTAGAATGTCCTGTCATACTGTCTGAAACTTCAGTAAAGCTCCGCATTTGTCCTGGCCACTGGTGCTGGCGAGTGTTGGGGATGGTGCTGGTATCAGTGATGCTAAGGGCCCTGCAGGAGGCGAGCCTTTGTCTGCAGTGGGTAGGCTGGACTCCAGCTGGCTCCTGCTACATGTTTACATGCAAAAGTCAGTGGCTCCCTCAGCACATGGAGCAGTGGCAGGGGCAGCAGCTGGTTGATTGATTGGGATGCAGAAGAAGCCCTCCCCTTCACCAGCCCACCTCTTTTCTTTTTCTTTTTTTTTTAACTCAGGGAGCACATGAGCCCCCCCTTCACTTAAAACCATGTTCTCTTTTACTAACAAAAGTGCATGCTTTCACTCAACAATGCTACAAAAAAGCTTTTAAGAACGAATGTGCAGTTACCTAAATAAATTGCTCTCACGTTTTGTGCAGCTTCTTGTTCAGAGCTGCCGCACATCCCAACACACTGGGTTCTTTCGGGGGGGAACGCATTAGTAGTCTTCACAGACACCCAAGGACCATTCTCGATTCTTTACTTTTACTCCAGCACATGCAGAATCCTTGCACTGGATGACCCCCTTCTCGTCACCCTCACTGCGGGCTGAGATGTATTTGTTGCAACAAATTTCCAAGTGCATTTCTATCCGGCAGCGTGCCTGCTACGAACGGGTCCCCCAAGGGCGAGAGGAAGGCTTGGAGTCCAACAAAAAGAGAAAGGGGAGTATGCGTGTGTGCGTGTACGCGTGTGCGTGTCACCCACAGCTCGAGTGGACTCCGGCGGAACACCAGCCAGTCACTGTCTGGTAAACGAGCGCGTGAGTCAGGGGATACGTGTGCACGTGTGCGGCCAAGCGTGTATTTGTGTGGTGGGAGGATAGGAAAGCGGCGCACACACACACACACACACACGCTTATCATTCGCTCGCAACATGGCGTTGAAGCGCCGAGAGACACGACAGCTCTGCCCCGACTAATGCGGTGGTTCTGCGCGGAAAGCCCGGGGACCGCTGCCCGAGAGAGACCCCAAGCCTCCACAGAGACTCCGTTACGCACCGCCGTGGACAATAACGGATTCCAGCGTGTGCGTGTCGCCGTGTGGGCTCGAAACTACGGTGTATGTGATTGTATACATGCGCACGCTTCTGCCCCGCTGGTGGAAATCAAAGGCTGTACATGGCGGTGGAGAGCATTATTTGGCTGTTCTGTCTTCTTTCGCTGTATTGGGGTCCAACCAAGCAAGGTAATGCTCCTCTTTTTTTGTCATCATGAGAGAGGTGAGGGGGGGTTGTTTATATGTGTGTTTGTTTCGACTCGGAGAAACCGGCCGCTCAGATTACATAGAAGTGCAGTCGGCACCAAAAGTCGGCTGCCAAACAGACAGGACGGAGCTGCTGGGGGGGATTTACACCCTGCGCCTTGCTGCGTCTCCTCGGTATTCCGCCGTCACCTCACATGGCCTCTGTGCTTGTTTATGAGATCCAGGGGGGGGGGTTGTTGCATCGATGCTTCGGTTGCCTCCCAGCAAAGTAGGCGCCTACAGGACTCCGGGGTTGTCAAGTTGCAGAAGACCCGAATGTGAACACACCGGGCCGCCGCGTTGAGCTGAACGGGGAAAGTTTGGCGGCTCAGTGTGAAGACAAGTTTGTTCTGGGTTTTTGTCCACCAAAAGACAAGAAGAAAAAAGGGGGAGGGGGAGGAGGGGAAAGCGCAACATTACATCTTTCTAATGCACGCCAAAAAGCATAAAAGGTCTGGAAATGATACAATAAAACGATGAATATATATAATGATTTGCTTTTATTTAAGATGTAAAAGCAACAGATTAGTTCTCTACTCCTTGCAGAAATAATGTCTGCTCCTTGATTATTCCAGTTAGAATAACGGTGTAACATTTATTTGTTGCTTATTTCAATTTAATAAGCCTCCATTCACCAGAACAATTAATTGAAATTGAATTAGAATTTGGCTGTAGTTTTCCAGTGCTTATTGAGAGGAATGTTAGAATGTAAAAATTACTGTTTTTCTGAGTTAAAAAGAAGTACATAGTTTACAGGCATGGAGTTCAGTGAACTGGGGTTTATATATAACTAACCCAAAGTTTTCCTTATTGGGACAGACCTGCACACTATGATAATTACTAATTCACTAACCTGTCAATGAAGGAGATTTAGAGCTATTTACAGCAACATTGTTTTCCAAAAGCAACAAAAGTATAGTCCATTTTTTTTATGTAAGCAACTTTCAAAGCAATGTATCTCATTCAAATGTCTGTAATTCTAATGAATTCAAGAAAGTAATATCGATTTTTTTGAAAAATATTTGATCAGATAACAGATGAGACAGATTCAATTGCAAAAAATCTTAATCTTGAGTGCTTGATCTCTTTTGAATGTAATTTCCGGTGTGTTTTAAGGATTGGCTTGTTTCTACATAAAACAAGCAGATGACAGGACTTAACAGATAGAAAACAACAGCAGACATGAAAACCGTGTTTATGCTTAGCAAGTCTGCATGTGTTAACTGTTAATGTAATCTAACCTTGTTAAGTTATACCGTCTAGAGGACACACAGTATTAATAATTATTGGGTCGATGCGGAGCAGAGAGACATTCATGAGCTCGGTGAAAACAGTTACTTTATTTTAGACCTGGCATGTTCCTTTTCCTCCCAATTCGGCCTCCATTCACCATTCAGCTGGTAAATTTATGTAAGGCTTTCATCAGTAATATCAGTTCACAGCCAATTCAGAAGGAAGATTGAGGTTTGCATCAGATTGGAAATTTCTACCTCTGTGATTAAATGGCTGAAGAAAAGCCTTTCAAACAAGAAGCTATTAATCATCAAGTTGGACAGAAGAGCGGTAGTCTCACAACTTGATGGAAGACAACTTTTTACAGCACATCATATTTTATATGTATAATGGGTTTCAAGGGCATGAATCCAATCTACACTAGGAATCCTGCTTGTGTCTGAATAGCAATCTAAGCCTGATTTGCTTATAGTGTCAGATGGTTGGATGAAATGTATAGTTTATGGTTCCAATGCATATGAGGCTTTATGTGTCTTAAATTGAAAAGGTGTCTATGTTCCACTACATACTGCAAGTTTAAAATGAGATGTCTTTAAACAACCTTTATTCACATTCAACAACTGTTGCTGTCCAGACATTGTTTCGCACCTTGTGCTGCTTCACCCTGAGCCTTTCTTTATGTGTTGGCATCAGCAATCGCAAAGAAAGCAGGGACAATGTGCAAGAATTGATGTGGAAGTGAAAAAGTCTTGAGTCGAGAAGGTTGGGGGAAAGAAGGAGACTGAATGTGTTCTTTGTTAACTTTAAACTGATAAGTAACTAGAGGGTCATATGACCATGCACTTCGGTCCCCAAGAAAGTTAGAATAAAATCTGCCCCCCATTGAGATCCTCCTCACATGAGTTGATCCCACAATGGAGGCCATCACACCCAGAACCAGAAATTTAGTGTGTAGGTTGTCTATGGTAATTTCATTGAATACGTCAACAGAAATGCTTATGGTTTGTTCAATATCTATGCTTTTATTCTTTGAAACATTTAGCTTCTGATCAACTAAATAATGCCGGTATTCAATACATTAAAATTAACTGAATTCTTGGTAATAATCTTATGCATACTTTAGCTAACAAGCTGGATTGTTTGACACATAAATAGAAAGTTAGTATACTATAATTATTATCTGGTATGCAACATTATTTCTTTGGGATATTCTGTTTAAAGCCACATGCAACTGCATTGGATCCTTAAATAAGAGAGATAAAACGGAGGAATAAAGGTCAAGTTGAATATTCCATAATTTATCATTTTACAGGCTGGTGATGAGTGTTCATTGCATCAAAACAGAGTGTGAAATGTATTTACCTTGTGTTTAAAATACCATTAATCTCTATAGCAACTGTTAGCAGGTGTCCCATTCATACATCTACTGTGTTCTCTTTATCTGAAATTGGGTCGTAGGAATAACAGGTCCAGGAGGGAAACCCAGATTTTCCTTTCCCCAGTGACATTCTCCAACCCATTCAAGGGATTTCTGAGTTGTTCCCAGGCAAGATGGGATATGAAGTCCCTGCAGTATTTTGTATTTTCTTACTGTAGTTCAAGTCTCAGTCAAGAGAGGTTTTCTGAAATGAAAATTCTGGGAGCCAACAGTGTCAATGCAGACTGATCACCCTGGGATACTATTGTAATTATTTACCCTCTTATGCTATACCAAGCTTATTAACTTTGAGCGAAGCTCTGCGAGACACCATTTTCATATTTTTCACTTATTTTGAAATGTTTTTTTTCTGAATCCAATCCAAATCTGAAGAAAAGAGCCTCTGGACAATCCAAAAGCAATAATCAGTGATTTTTCAGAGTGCAACAATTGTTGGAATAAATGTTGAAAGTCTTCTGAACTTGCGTAAATGTCAGTGTCCTCTTTGCTAGAAAAAAACTCAATGCAGAGAAGGCTGGATGCATTTTGTGTTTGGATTGCAGACAGAGATAATGTGACACTGACAAAAAAAAAGTATGAAAATGCTACAATGCTTCAACTGTTCATGCTCCTACTAATAATAGTGATATTTGATTTATAAATATCAATATTCTGATAACTGCAAAAATGTACACACATTTTGTTCTAAAATTTTGTACTAATTTATGTTGGGAGAGGGAACTTTACCTGAGTGTTCTTGTCATCATTGGCGTTTGACATTGACTTTATAACAATTTTTCATATATAAAAATGATTACAAAGTTGAGTTTTTTACAAACAGATCTTTTTTTTTTTTACCATTTTTTCCACCCCACTGACCATTTTTCAGACTTACTTGATTTTGAAAAACAGGGAGACTTCTTGATTGATGAGCTTTACTGTGTGTCCAATATCCAATAGTTCACTGCTTGGATTGTCACCAGTGACCTTAATTCTGTTGCAAACCTGTGAGTACATTTCACTGACCTCCTAAACTGGAGTGTTGAGTGGAAGTGGCTGTGGGAATACAGGCTGGTAAGCAGTGGGCACAGTGAGGGATGCTTTAATGGGTGCTGGGAAAATTTGAGGTCAAGGGCTATTCCTACATGCACAAAGAATATGTATTTGTCCACTCCAAGTATCAAGTGGAAATATCCGCATTATACTTAATACAAAACAAGCAAATGAATTTGACAAAAGTCTAGACAGCTCTTTGTTCTCCCTCTGTTTAGTCAAACAGTTCTGCAGCTATTAAAAAAGATAATTATCTCCAGCTATGCAAGGGTTTATGAGAAACTGAATTGTTTTTTCACAATAATGAGTCACAGGTAGTGACTGAACACTGACCTGAAAAACACACCATTTTTATTAGGCATGACTGCATGATTTGTAAAAACTCGCATTTGTCTTCTCCCTCTGCGCCAACTAGTTTTTTGTTTTATGTGTTTCTGCTTTGTCCAGCTTAAAACCCCCAGCTCCCACTTTGGCAACAAACCCACCCTCCCCCTGGTACAATTCCACAGGAGCAGCAGAGTGTGATATGCCTTGATGAAACTTAAATGTACATTCATCTCTTCCACTGGTCTTGTCGTCGTACATTTGTCAAGCTGCGTTTTCCTCTTAAATAGCCAAATGGAGCATGTATGAGTTCTAGACAGAATATTGACTGCAAGTACATTTCAATTAGTTTGTCTCATAGATTAGAAACCAGTAGTTATTCAGGAGTGGTACTTTGTTGTTGTTGTTTTTTTGCAAGATTTTATAATGTGTTGACATCATTATCTGAAGTTCTAACAAAATGTCAGTGACAAGCTTTTCTCATATTCAAATTAGACACAATGAACTCGCTGTTTTAATTCCAAATCATTCTCTAATGGGTTTTTGCTGGATTGACATTCTCATGGTACGATAACCTTTAGTAAAAAATACACAGTACTGCATTTTGCAATTTAACAATTTAAACAAAAACGTGCAACATGAACTAATTCTCTATAGTTTTCACAAAAGCAACAATAATTCCTACTGCTGCAAAAATAATATTAATTCCTCCAGCTATATTCTAAGAAATCACCTTGAATTATTGCTACTTAGATTTTTATACACAACCTGAGGCAAAATTATACAGTAGAAAAAACATATTGTCATTTAAGGAGTATTTTTAACCATCCTTCATTGACTGTGACTCAATGGGAAGAGTGGTCATCTTAAAACAAGATAGTTGTGGGTTTAATTCCACCTTCCTCCAGTGTGAAAT